AAAAAAAAAAAAAAAAAAAAAAAAAAAACTGATTTGTTATTATTAGAGGTCTCAGATATTTGAAGATGTATCTTGGGAGAATATAAAAAATTTCAAATGGGGTGAAAACCACTCCATTTAGAGCCATTCTGTTTGTAAATGTCTTGAGAATACATAATCAACGAAGCCTTCCTTCAGCTTGATCAATAGGAATTGCTTAGTCTTAAATATGAGTGGGAAGTAGATTTGCCAGTATAAAGAAAATGGCAAAATAAATGAAATGCTGTGCTTTTAAAAGCTCTGTATGGACTGCTTTAAAAGCACTGTAATTAAATCCTATCACTTAAAGTAACAGCACTCCTTCCAACAAGCAACAAAGTTCATTTTAGTTAAACAAATCATGGCGAGAAGGTTTGTGTGCCAAAGTGTTATACGGTACTTAGAGTTTATGGGTTTGTTTAAACTTTTAACCCCAACTATGAGAAATAGTAGCCTACTAGTTATAATATTCATATTCCAAGTGTATCGTAGAGTTTAGCTTATTGTTTGGTTTTACAGTGTTGGATTCATATTTTCGGCGGTTCACTGCTGATTAAGTCCATATCAACATACAACTTAACAGCCTTCTTTCACTCAGTCTTTTTTTTTTTTTTGTGCATTGTGGTCTGTAGTAGACAGGAAGTTGACTGTCATCTCTGGCCCTTTCTGTGTAGGTGGAAGTATGGAGCTGGCCAATCATGGTCTTATCCTTCTGCAGCAGCTCAACGCGCAGAGGGAGTTTGGCTTCCTGTGTGACTGCACGGTCGCCATCGGCAATGTCTTTTTCAAAGCACACAAGGCCGTACTGGCTGCATTCTCGAACTACTTCAGAATGCTATTTATACACCAGGACAGGTAACCGCTTTATGTGTGGTTTTTAAAGTCCATTTTGTGCTTAAACTATGGATGTGTTGATATGGTAAGCTGATAATCATTCTTGTTATATCTAATAAATGGCCAATATTAAAGGGATAATTCACCCAAAAATGAAAATTCTGTCATTAATTACTCGCCCTCGTGTCGTTTCAAAGCTGTAAGACCTTTGTTCATCTTCGGACCACAAATTAAGATTTTTGATAATCCGAGAGTTCTTTGACCCTGCATAGACAGCAATGCAACTGAAATGTTCCCAGGCCCAAAAATGTGGTAAGGACATCGTTAAAATAGTCCATGTGACATCAGTGGTTTAACCGCAATTTTATGAAGCTATGAGAATACTTTTTGTGCACAAAGAAAAAAAAAAGACTTTATTCAATAATTCTTTGGAGAGTATCATGATGTATGCGCATGCTTTTCTCTGCATGTAAACACTGCATGTGTGTGGTGCTGCTGACGTAGAACATGTGATACTCTCCAAAATGGCACTAGGGTTTGTTTTTGTTTGTTTTTTTTCACACAAAGTATTCTCGTAGCTTTGTAAAATTACGGTTGAACCACTGATGTCACATGGAATATTTTAACAATGTCCTTACTACATTTCTGTGCCTTGATCGTGGAAGTAGCCTTACTGTCTATGGAGGGTCAGAGAGATCTCGAATTTAATCAAAAATTTCTAAATTTGCGTTCCGAAAATGAACAAAGATCTTACAGGTTTGAAACGACATGAGGGCGAGTACTTGATGACAGAATTTTCATTTTTGGGTGAACTAACCCTTTAATATTCTAAGCTATGTTGTCTAAAACACTACAAACTAAAATCATTGGTTTTAAATGTTACAAGTAAATTTAGGCATCACAGCATTATTATGTGCAGTATGAAAAAGGCTTGAATACACTACATGACTTTTCAAATCTGATCCACATTGAATGATTTAGGATTACGCGCTACCAGACTTTCATGTTGTCCTGAACACAAACTCGTGCATTAACATGCACCTCATTGCTAGGAGTCGCATGACAAATGAAAACGACGTGTTCTAAAAGCATCCAAACATATAAAGAACCCGCAACCTTTGGGTTACGAGTCCGACTCTCTAACCATTAGGCCACGACTTCCCCCACAAATATCAATGTGAATCTGTGCCCATCATACAATACATGATTTTTTTTGTTTTTTTTGTTAAAACGATCAAATCCAACCAGGGCCGTCCTTGGCTGACATGGGGCCCGGTGCGAGGTAGGGAGCCGGTCCACCTTGGTCTGTTCACAATCATGTTCTGGGGAGTCTGCACCAGTTGCACTGCCCAAGGGACGGCCCTAAATCCAACTGCCCAAAGTCTGCAGACTGGCTCTTACTTTTGGCAACTAGCATCAACTAGTCCAGACCGTAATGAGGCAAAAGTCATGTAGTGAATTCCAACCTTGATGATTAAAGTAACATTAACATTAATCTAAATGTAAATTGTAATAGAGAAAATGCACAATTATCAACTGCACAAATAGCCAATATTGATACAGTGCCCTCCACTAATATTGGCACCCTTGGTAAATATGAGCAAAGACTGTTGTGAAAATAAATCTGCATTGTTTATCCTTTTGATCTTTCATTCCAAAAATTCACAAAATTCTAACCTATCATTGAGATTTTCTCCCCACTTTCAGTTGTTTTACTTCATTGTGAAAAAATTCTCTAGTTCATGTTGGCCACAGTTATTGGCATCCAATTATTGCACGTCCTTTTCCCAAGATAACAGCTCTGAGTTTTCTCCTATAATGCCTGAAGAGTTTGGAGAACACCTGATAAGAGATCAGAGACCATTCCTTCATCCAGAATCTCTCCAGACCCTTCAGATTCCCAGCTCCATGTTGGTGCTTCTTCTCTTCAGCTCACCCCACTCATTTTCTATAAGGTTCAGGTCCGAGGACTGGGACGGCCATGGCAAAAGCTTAATTTTGTGTTTAGTGACACATTTTTGTGTTGATTTTGATGTTTGTTTTTGATTATTGTCCTGATGGAAGATCCAACCACGGCCCATTATAAGATTTCAGCTAAGAGTCAGGCAGGTTTAGATTTTTTTAATTTTTTTTAATTTTTTTTATTATCTGTTGGTATTTGATAGAATCCATGACGCCATGTATCTGAACAAGATGTCCAGGACCTCCGGCAGAAAACAGGCCCACAACATTAAAGATCCAGTAGTATATTTAACCGTGGGCATGGGGTAATTTTATTTTTTTTAATTTTTTTATAAATATCCCTGTTTGTATTAACCCATCTGGTGGGTTTGCTGCTGTGATAACGACCCGAGCAGTCATAAGGAGGATCAATAGCGAAGTTGGAGTCCAATGGGTTGTTTATTTAGAGCAGATGTGCAAATAAATAAGTTTAAGAGCTTAAAACAAAGATTGTAATAAAAAGTCTAAAACTAGAACTGCAAGTACTAAAAACAGTACCAACTCCCCTCTACGTCATTGAGGCTGGAGTTTCACATGCTACACAGCACTACAATCTTGTTCCGAGCGCTCTCTCCGTCCTCTCCCTACTACTAGTGGCGGCCATCTTAAATACACATTTTTTTTCCCGCTCTCCCCAAATTGGAACATACTTTTTTTATAAAAAAAAACTCTTGACTTAAACTCTTGTTTCTAAATCTCATGTATATCTCAAGAGTCAAAGTAAATAAATACAATTAAAAAGAGAATGGATATACCAAAACATTTGCACAAACTTTTACATACAGCTGAGCGCTTTTTCTCAGTTTGCACTTTGCCACGCCCATTTAGCTAGACGAAGAAATACAAGCAACCAACATTAACAGTGAAAACGGTGACAATTTCAAGTCTCTCCATCACAGCTACCAATAAGTTTCATCTGATCATAGAAGCTAGTGCCATTTGAACTGAATATGCTGGAGTTTGTTTTTGGATGAGTGAGGAGAATTGTTTGTTTTTTTTTGTTTTTTTTGGAAACCCTCCCGAACAACATGTGATGGTAGGGGCTGTTTGATTTTATTTTTTTATTTTTTAGGCTTTCTGACCCCAAGACTCAACTAATCACTGCAATTCTCCAGCTGTGATCCTTGGAGAGTCTCTGGCCACTCAAACTCTCCTCCTCACTGTGCATTAGGACGATATAGACACATCCTCTACCAGGCAGATTTGTAACATCTTTAGTTGATTTGGAACCTTCTAATTATTGCCCTGATGGTGGAAATGGGGATTTTCAATGCTTCAGCTTTTTTATTACAGCCACTTTCTATTTTGAGAAGCTCAACAATCTTATTCTGCACATCAGAACTATATTCTTTGGTTTTACTCCTTGTGATGGATGATTAAAGGAATTTGGCATTTGTGTTCCTCATATTTATAATCCTGTACAGGAAGTCATGGCTGGACAATTTCATGCTCCTAGTCACCCTGGTGTGGGTATAAATGGAAATATACTTCAGATATATTTTACTCGTAAAAATTTCTAGGGAAGTCCAATAATTGTGGCCAACATGCATTGGAGAAAAACATTTATTTCATCGTGAAAATTCTCCCCACTTTCAGTTGTTTTACTTCAATGATAGGTTTGAATTTTGTGAATTTTTTTTTGAATGAAAGGATAAACAATGCAGATTTATTTTCACAGCCACCTTTGCTCATATTTACCAAGGGTGCCAATATTAGTGGAGG